CACTGCTCTTGCAGAGGACCCAGGTTCAATTCCCAGCACCCACATGGTGGCTATGAACTATCCTTAACTCCAGTTCCAGGGGAAATCGAAGACCTTTTCTGACCTCCACGGCACTGCATGACACGGGTGCACTCACATACATGTAGGCAATACATTCATACACATAAAAAATAATAAAGTAATAAAAAAAAAAAAGAGGGAACTATACAAGCAGGTTTCTGGGATGCCAGTAGTACTGTTCTTTTTCTTTCCCTTTGGTTTTTTTGAGATAGTCTCCCTGTAGCCCCAGCTGGCCTGGAACTCACTATGTAGACCAGGCTCGCCTCAAACTCACAAAGATCCACTTGCCTCTGCCTCCCAAGTGTTGGGATTAAAGGTGTGTGCCACCACACCCTCTATTAATTTTCTTACCAAGGAAATATTGGGTGCTGGGAATATAGCTCAGTGCTAGAATGCTTGCCTAGAATGTACAAAGCCCCGAATCCCATCCCCAGCACTGCAAAGGGCTTAGAGATTTGTTAGTGGCAAGTCTATGCAAATGTACAGCAGAGGCTTAGCGATGAGTGAACCCAGCACATTCCATCATGCAAAAAACAATGGAACAGTGTAAACAAACGCTAAGTGGGTATTTAAGATCTTTCCTTCACTAGATTGTTCTTTGAATCTGGTAGAAATTTTTGAGTGGGGTAGGTCAGTGCTAGTGAGCTGATAAATAGAATCACAGTCACATGTGGGCATGCAGACAGGCATGTCTTTCTCGTCTAGTGACGGTCTCATTGCCCTTCACCTGCTTGAAACAAAGTGAAATAGGCCATTTGCCCACCTGAGACGGAACTTGACAGTGTGCCCTGGGCTGCTCTAACAAACAGAAGTTAGGGAGTCTGCTACCATGGGCTCCTCGTGGACCAATCGTTGGGCTTTTTAACTTACTTTACACACATTTCTGACTGGCTCAGTTCTCTAGTTTCCAAGGCAGCAGATGTCATTTAAGGGAGCAAAAGCACTTCAAGCATATGAATACCATGTTGGGGGAGAATCAAAAATCATGCTGAGTGCCAGGGATGGTGATTTCATCTGTAATCCCAGCATTTTGAAGTCCAAAGTTCAAAAATAACAAGCAAATAAGTTTAGACTTAATGATTATTGTTTGTTTTGTTGTTTGTTTGAAACTCTCTGTAGCCCAGGCCAACCTTGAACTTAAAGTGATCCTTCTGCTTTTGCCTCCCAAATGCTAGCATTGCAGGTATACCACGATGCCTGGCAAGAGTTAGGACTATCACGTAGGCTGCCCA